GTGGCCTTAATGAGAACTAGCAGCAAAGGAGAATGGCTTTGTTAGTATCACTGGTGGCTTTTGCTTTTAAAATGTGTGGATGCGTGACTCACCATGGGGATCTGGCCTTTTTCTGTCTCTAACTGCTGCAAGCAGCACTCCCTCCTCTGCAAGCGAGGCCAGCTGGGGAGGACTGCCACTTGTCATGGCAGTGACAGCCCCAATGGTGACAGTGCTGCCAGATCATGCCTACAGTGTGTCACTTCCTGGCTTCCTCTGCCTGTACGTGGGGCCAGCCTTTGCTTGCCCTGAGCGTGTGGGTGCCCATGGAGCTGGATTTATCGATCTGGGCAGGATTTGACCAGGTTGCTGTGAAATGAAGGAGAAAGACAACCCACAAAAAGCAAATTTAGGAACTGGAAACAGCTCTGGTCCCCAGCAGGCAGACAGGCACAAAGAAAACTCAGTAGCCACTTCAGCCGTGGCAGGAGGCTGGGTAGTCCCATGAGCACACGATGAGGAGACCATGGGGACAGAGTCCCTGTGTGCAAAGCTCTAGGGCAGACGCGGGTGAATGGATGTCAAAAAACATCTTCATCACACTGTGCCCCCCTCTGCTCAGCTGGGTGCTAGGAGCTGGTCTGCGCACGGACATCACCCCATGGGATGGAAAGAACCAGGGCCAAGGGTGTGCTCACAGGGAGAGGAAGTGCCCAGCACAGACTGGAAGTGGGTCAGATCACAAGGTAACAGCTGAGGGAAAGTAGCAAAAGCTTTTAGAGGAAGGTAGATGTCCTGGTTTTGCTGGGATAGAGTTAATTTTCTTCTCAGTAGCTGGAATAGCTGTGGTTTAGGTTCAGTGTGGGATTTGTTATGAGAAGAATGTTGATAAAGTCCTAATGTGATCAGTTGCTGCTGGAGCCCAAGGCCGTCGTGTTTGGCTGGTTCACAGCTGCATTAGGACTGGGAGGGAGAAGTGTAGTAATTAGCAAAACCCCAAATTGGCATTTGGATGTGCCAATGAGATATTCCAGATCACGTCACGTCATGGTCAGTGTATTAACCAGGGTTGATTGGAAATTGGGGGGATTCTCTTGGGGATCGCTCAGGCTCTCACTCTTCCTGGGTTTCAGTTTCAGGACTGTCTGTGCTCTGGGATCCGTGGCTGGGACAGGTGAACAATTGCACTGGGCATCACTCATTTGCATAGTCTGTTATTATCATAATTTTATTTTAATTAGTAAGTATTTTTTATCTCAACCCATGAATTTTCTCTTTACCCTTTTCCTTCCAATTCTCTCCCCTACTCCCTGGGGGCTGGGGGCAGGGAAGGGAGAGTGAGAAAGCAGGCTGTTTGGCTGTGAACCAAAAGGGTGAAACCACAACAGTAGAATGTCAGTTTCTTCTGCAAAAGAGATGCTGGCATCCCAAATAATTAAATCCTTTGAAAAGGTTGGGAAACTATTTCATAGTGTTCCTTCTGCCTGGAAATAACTTTTCTTCTGTATATCCATGCAATGAGATCCTTGGTGCTTTTTTCCTCAGATGGCCTTGCTCATGCTCTCCCATGTGTACAGCCTGTGCTGATGGGCTCTCAGCACTCCTTGCAGCAGTAGGACAGAGCAACGAATATGGAAGAGAAAACTGCAGCCTGCAGCTGGGCTCCTTAGGCAATATTTCTGGGTTCTCCTTGCCTGCAGCACTTCCTTCATGCTAGAAGCTGCCTGGCAAACCCTGGGGCAAGAGCACCCTCTGGAGACCAGGAGAAATGTAAGAAATGAGACTACATTTCTCAAAGCACTTCTTTTCACATTGTCTTTGCATTTGAAGCACATTTCGTGATGGTGATGGGTGCTGGCTTGCTTGCCCAGAAAGGGGACCCTGCTGGAGAGGGCTACCTTGCCACACCGTGTCTCTGTTACTACGGAACAAGCTGTCCAAGCTTCTCCAGAGACAGGAGAAGAGACCTTAGGGCACACAGCAGCCCTAGAGTTTGTAGAAAAAAAAAGTCACACTGTTTAGAGATAATCAGAGGACATGGTAAAAAAGATACTTTTCTGCATCTAGCTAAGGAGACTCCCTGCAAGGATGTGATACCTGATGGCATCCTCCTTCCCGTTGTGGAAGAGGAACATGCTGGTGGGAACACGGTGCAGGTGGGAGGTGCTGCCTCTCTGCTGCCTTCCACCATATCAGCAGTGTGGAGTGGGTACCCAGCCATGGGGTCCTGGAGGGGAGGGCGTTGGCAGAGGATCACTTCAATCACACGTCTCCATATCTGTCTTAAGGCAAGCAAGTTAGCCAAAAAAAAAAAAGATTTCTAAATGCAACAAGAAACTCCCAAGTTTGACAGCTGAGAACATTTTATTTAACTTATTATCTCCTACACTGAGTAAAGTCTTCGTTCTGAGCTGGCAGCTGCCTCCTCTTGCCTGTCACGCACCTCATGACTCACTGCAAAGGGGGCCTGAACAGGAGGCGGTAGGAGGCAGGAGGAGAAATATCACTGTAAAAGGCAGACAGGCAGGCCCAGTAAAACCATAGTGTAAAAAAATCCCACACAAGCATAACAAAATCATAAAAGGTATGTTTTCACCGGTTTTTATTTGGTAGCCTATCTTTCTCCATATATGAGGAAAGCAGCTCTCATCTCACTGCGCCAAACACTAAAATTCACACGCCCTTTCAGGCATTTTCAGCATGTTGATACCACAGTGACTGGAAGATGAAATGGATGGCACCTGCTGACATGCTTCTTCCCTCAAGGATCCTTTGAAGAAAAATGTAAAGCTGTGATTTTTGTGGGAAAAGTTGTTTTGCATTGGTGAGTTGATGGTCAGTGGCAGAATTGGTGTAACCATTGGTGTGACCCTTGCAGAGATGATAGATCCTGCTTCAAGACTTCTGCATTTTCTGAGCTGTAATGTTGAGTCCTGGCATAAATCTATGCAAATGTCATAGAGTGTTGTGAGCTGGAAGGGACCCACAAGGATCATACAGTCCAACTCCTGTCCCTGCACAGGACAATCCCAACATTCACACCATGTCCCTGAGGGCCTTGGCCAAATGCTGCTGGAATCTTGTCAGGCTTGGTGCCATGAGCACCTCCCTGGGGAGCCTGTTCCAGTGCTCCACCACCCTCTGCCTCAAAAACCTTCTCCTCATGGCCAACCTCACCCTCCCCTGCCACATCTTCCTGCCATTTCCTCTGCTCCTGGCATTCGTTGGTGGCCAGAGAGAAGAGATCAGCGCCTGCCCCTCCTCTTCCCCTTGGGAGGAAGTTCTAGACCGCCATGAGATCTCCTCTCAGTCTCCTCTTCTCCAGGCTGAACAACCCAAGTGACTTCAGCCTCTCCTCTACCCTTCCCCTCTAAACCCTTCCCCAATGTTGTGTCCCTCCTCTGGACACTCTCCAGGAGCTTTAGATCCTGTTTCTCCTGTGGTGCCCAAACTGCCCCCAGTGCTGGAGGTGAGGCCGCCCCAGTGCAGAGCAGAGCGGGACCATCCCCTCCCTGGCCCGGCTCGCAGTGCAGTGCTGGATGCCCCCAGGATGCATGTTGGTCTGTTCACTTACCCACTGATGGCTCTTGCCAGAGCTCTTCCCGTGTTCCCTCACTTTGCTCAGATCTGAGTCCCTTCTTCGCAAATGAGACCTCTCATGCACAGTATTAAAATCCCTGAAGACATGAGATACCTCACACAAATCACCTTTCCTGGGACATGATAGCTATACATGAACTGTGCTAAGCCTGCAGCCTTTTGTGTGTGTCAGCTCTTGGAAAGCCCTGGTTGTGTTTTGACTGGGCTGCTAGAAAGTCCAGGAACAGGAACGAAGGGTCATGCAGAATGTTTTTGAGGGCGGCCTGTTTCCCTTGCTCACCTTGGGCTCAAGGGCTTCCAGGTCACATCCTCCTGCCAGGGGAACATTAGGGCACCAAGGGACTCATCCTGCTTGCCCCCGCTGCAGGTGGTGACTGTGGAAGTCACCCTGGGGTAAGTGATGGGAGTGCAGCAGTGCCTGCAAACCGTAACGCTGGCTGATACAGCAGCAAAATCCCCTGCCTGTGAGGAGCAGTCCTATGGATGCTGGAGGGGTGGACTGCAGGAGATGGTAGGTCTTTCCACGTGGAAATTTTATGGTACTTTGAAATCTCTTTTCAGTTTCAAAATAGCAAAGGCAGGATGGTGCCTTCCCTCCGTGCTGTCATCTCATGGCCCCGAGTCAGGACATGGACTGCCCACAGCGCTTAGGGATGTGAGTTGGAAGGACAACAAAGCCTAAAACTCACCCCTGCTGAGAAAAGGGAAAACATTCTGACATTTCCTACGCTTACGCAAAACTACTGCGTGCAAAGGCAGAAGTCTGCACGCAGTATTTCAAGTTTTATTTACACATTGCTTTTGCCCTGCAGCCCCCAATGTCTGTCCTACAGGAAAGCTGAATCTCAGTGATGGAAACCTTCTAACACATTAACCCCTGTGAGCACTTCAAGGATGTGAAATAGACTTTCACAATTGAGACAGTTTTTTAAATACAGATTTATTTGACAACAATTAAACCTGAAATATAGAAGGTACAGAGTAGGAATTCAACTGTGCATATTAATATCTTGAGTAAGATATTCAGCAAGTAAAAATTAGGTAGTTTGCCTGCAGTTAAGGATGTAAATTAACTTACACAGCCATACAGATCCACTGGTGTTTGGCCATTTCACATTTTATCTGAAGCACACTGCAGATCTGGAAACTCCAGATTTTGCAAGAGACTCTTCTGATTATTAACATAATTAAAACAATCTGACTCTGAACAAAAGGATAAAGGCACAGTTGAGGAGTAGAGGGAATCTACAGAAGGGAGAAGAAGCAGAAGATGCCTTATTTTCTTCAGTAGCTAGGATATGACCAACCACAGCAAAGACCCCCTAGACACTAGGTTTGTCCATGAGATGTTTTGCCATTTTCTGCCTCTTTGCAGAGCCAGAATTAGCCCCAGGCTGGACAGAAAGGAAATGAAAATGCATCTAGCAGTAGGGAGCTGGTTTGATGAGGATGGCAGAAGCTTTGCAGTTCCCGTTGCACAGGCTGCCCCACGTTATACCCCCCTTGACATTCAGCCGTACAGAATAACACGCCGAGTACCACCACCCGCCCCCGTAGCTGGAGGCACAGTTCCCGCTGTGAGTATCATGATCCAGATCTTTAGCAGAGAACTTCATGTTGTCGTGCACGGTGGAAGCACTGTTTGAGGTCATGGCATCCCCTGCCAACCCCGAGTATGTTCCCAGCCTCAGCCGGTAGCCCTGGGACTCATTTTCCACATGGAAGAGGTTGTAGTCAGCAAACTTGGTGTTATTTGTGGCATCCCAGATGACAAACCTGACCTGGTAGACCTTCTGCTTGGAGATCTGATGGATGTACTCAGTGCCCAGCCAGTAGTCAGTGTGCATGTTCCCAAAGCCGTACTTGTAGGTGCTCCAGGACTCAGCCCAGGTGATCTCCGTGTTCTGCCGGTTCCTCTGGATGACTGTCCAGCCCCCGTCTGTCACATTCATTTCACAGTACACCACGATGGGGTGCAGTCCTGTGGGCTGGATGACGTAGATGCCGCTGGGGCTGCCAGTGCGGATCTCACTGCAGTCCTTGGGCCAACCTGGGGCAGGAGAGGACATGGAGAACCAACAGGTACATAACCCCCCAGTCTGCTTGTCTGGCCCTATGAGAGGGATTTCTAGAAAACAGGCAGATGTGGGATTTTATCAAGGTAGCACAAAGTCTACCACTGTGCTTCATACTGTAATTTTAAAAACAGAAAACCTCTGCAAGGGGAATACAGTGATTAAGAGAATAGCACATATTTTGAAGGTATAAGCATAGTATTTGCTTCTCCTTCTGGCTCAGGCTCTTGTTTCCTCAGCCTTTCTCAATGTTGAGATGTTTCTCCTCCCTCATAACAACACAAGCTTGGCTTGGTGAGGGCTCTTATTAGATGGTTATGCAGAAGCTTCAATGAGGAAGTGAGCTGTTCCTGCAGCCCTGGGGTCAGGAAAGAGAAAACCTCATTCCCTTGGCATTGGACCCCATGGCAAGCTGTGAAACGCCAGCAAGCATTTCTTGGGAGGCACATCCTCTGCTTGCCCTATGCAGAGCTCCATAGCAGAGAATTGGACTTGTGGCACGTAAGTAACAGTTGCCAAGTCCTCTGGGATCTGCTCAGGCATGGTTCAGTGTGAAGCTATCACTAGTAACAAGTGATATCTGAGTGGCCTTGGTGTGCACTGTGGGGGAGCACATCAAGTCTTGCCCCCAGGAGCTAAGCCAGGTTATCCCCAGGTGTGCTGCCCACCCACCGCTGTTGGACCCTCCTTGCCTACACCTCTCCCTGGTCCCTGCGGGGCAGCTGGGGCACTTACTGCGCTGCACTGTCTGCTGAGGGTCACTGGCTCTGCTGTTCCGTATGTTCTCTCCATCTTCTCCTGCATTGGGAAAAACAGAAAGAGTGAGAAGAGCCACCCTGTGCCACAGCACTGAGGTAACTCCAGCCTCCACGGGCTGTTATTCTGAGCACTGAGTTTTTTGTAGGGCACTTCAACAATGCCACTGGGCTCATTTTTCTTCCTATATGGTAGTTTTTGGTTGAAAACTCTTTAATGGGCTAAGATACTAGAAAGGGTAACACTGCAGTCATTGAGAAGTGGTCTATTTGGTCCACTCAGCATTATGGCTTTACAGAGCTGCATGGAGTGGACGGCATATCCAAGTAGTCGTGATGAGTACAAGGAGATACCGCTAGAAAGGAAGGATTGAAAGTGGACTGTGTGTGGTTTCAGACCAAGATTAAACTGTTGAGTGATGGTGCTGTGAATCTGCATTTCTTCCCAGTGGTGGATGAAAGGGATTCCTGTGTTCATTCAATTCATAAAGAGCTTCAGAAACCTTCAGAGAGGAAAGAGCTCAAAGCACATGACAGCAAAGCACTTGTTCAAGAGAAATCACACCACTCATCTCCATAACATAGTGTTCCCCAAGAGCCTCCAGTGGCGTGAGCTCTATCAGTGATGTGATGAGTTTATTAAGTCATTTAGCCATGTGCAAGTTTCAGAAAACATTTTGGTTGGTCACTTATACAAAATTTCTCTGGAGTTTCAGGGCTACAAGTGGACTACACATAATAAGAGAAAAGGTCTTCCTTCGAGTATCTACAGCTCTCTAGAAAAAGCTGCCACATACAGTCTTGTCAATAACAAAGAGGCTGAACTACCAGATGTTATGATGTTTGGCTAAGATCTGAAACTGGAGGAAGGTTGGATGAGGTTCCTTTTATCTCTGAGTGTGACTGCCCTTCTCCAACATAATTTTCCACATCTCCCTCACTGTGCAGAGAGGAGAGAGCTCCTTTTGGAGGAACAGAGTTTAGGGATGTAAGAGAGAAAACACATAGGAGCTCACCTGAATGGAGATTAGTGATTTCACTTAAATTTGCTTTTAATCTTTCCAGGTTTTCAATGTCCAGAGCAAGAAGAGGGACTAGCAGGGCCAGCACAGAGGTGAAGAACAGAAGATTGGAGTGACGAGCAGCTGGAGAAACAAGACACATGGTGAATCTGGGAATGCAAACCCTTTGAAAGAGAACTGGCTAGCTACATTCAGCAGAAGTTAAAACAAACTTACAGAGTAGACAAATCCACATTAATTGTGCTTTTGCTTTACTGAGCAGTAGAAGTATAAAGAACAATTTCCAAATACGTTGCATTCTGCAACGTCATACATCCCTAGAGAGAAACACTTTCCCTCAGACTTTGATTACAACCTACAGGTTTAAATTTGAAGGTTCCAAAACTGGGGTCATGTTCTGTGGCTGTGGCCTGGGCTAAAGCAAGGGCCTCTGGGCCCCAGAATTGAGATGTGAAGCCAGCATCAGTATGCACGTCTTGAGAAAAACATCTCACAGTAGTAAAGGAGGGCACTCTGATTTGTAGGTACTGCTGAAGATAGTCAGGAGCTACTACAGCAATGATAAACAAGGCACAAGCACTTGAGATCTTGGAAAGAAAGGTGTTTCTACAGAGATGTACCGAGGGTCAGTGCATCCCAGGTGAAACCTGGACCGGGACACTAGGATATAAAGGGTGGTTTCTGCCAGTGTCTGAAACCTGAGCAATTTGACTCCTTTGGACCGTATCAGATCAGGACGTTTCCCAACATTTTGTTCAGGGCCAGCTCCATAGATTTGTGTCTACATCTTGCCCACCCAGATCAGTATCCTGAAAGACTTATAATGGGTGATTAATGCATTAATTAGCTTCCATTCACAGAATCCCAGAATTGCCTGGATTGGAAAAGCCCTTTAAGCTCATCGAGTCCAATCATGAACCCAACACTGACAAGTCCCCGACTAACCCATGTCCCTCAGCACTATGTCTACATGACTCTTCAATCCCTCCAGGGATGGGGACTCCACCACTGCCCTGGGCAACCCCTCCCAATGCCTCAGAACCCTTTCAGCAAAGAAATTCTTCCTCACATCCCATCTCAACTGCCCTGGGCACAACTGGAGCCCATTTCCTCTTGTCCTGTCCCTTGGGCCTTGGTTGAACAGACCCACCCCCACCTCTCTCCACCCTCCTCCAAGGGACTTGCACAGAGCCACAAGGTCTCCCCTCAGCCTCCTTTTCTCCAGGCTCAACACCCCCAGTTCCCTCAGCCGGGAACTCAGCACACTTGTGCTCCAGACCCTTCCCCAGCTCCGTTGCCCTTCTCTGGACACGCTCCAGCACCTCCATGTCCTTCTTGGAGTGACAACTGAGAAACTGAACACAAATTCCTTGTTTGTTTGTTTGTGTGCTTTGAGCTCTGGCACAAATATAAGTTAAATAAATGTTGCCTTTACAGTGCCAGACAGAGCATGACTGTTTTGCCTGTGGTCAGGAATAGAGGAGAGAGAGTGAGGGATGGGAGGGTCACAGAGACCTGGGGGGGGTACAGCAGCAACAGGGTTGTTCCACTGTCCCGAGTCTGGAAAGGGTCAGTGGGAAAAACAGCGCTGCAGCGTGGGCAGCAGCAGTCTGGGGGCAGGCAGAGGAGGTAGGACGCTCAGCCACACGCAGCGGTGCCATCCCATCCCATCCCATCCCATCCCA